GTGATGTTCAGTGTCTGATAGTGATGTCCAGTGTCTGACAGTGCTGTCCAATGTCTGACAGTGCCGTCCAATGTCTGACGGTGCCGTCCAATGTCTGACGGTGCTGTCCAATGTCTGACGGTGCCGTCCAATGTCTGACAGTGATGTCCAATGTCTGACAGTGATGTCCAGTGTCTGACAGTGATGTCCAGTGTCTGACAGTGATGTCCAGTGTCTGACAGTGATGTCCAGTGTCTGACAGTGATGTCCAATGTCTGACAGTGATGTCCAGTGTCTGACAGTGCTGTCCAATGTCTGACAGTGATGTCCAATGTCTGACAGTGCTGTCCAGTGTCTGACAGTGCTGTCCAATGTCTGACAGTGATGTCCAATGTCTGACAGTGCTGTCCAATGTCTGACAGTGATGTCCAGTGTCTGACAGTGATGTCCAGTGTCTGACAGTGATGTCCAATGCCCTGTCATTGCAGAGCTGTCTGCTCCACAGCAACGTCGCCAGTGACTTCAAAGCATTTACTGACAAGTTTGGTTTTGATGTCCTGATTCTGTTCGCCAGCTGCTTGTCAGAGCAGCTGCCGCGACGGCAGATTGCAGTGTATTCTCAGAACCTGGAGCTCTGCAGTCAGGTGAGCCCCTGTTCTGACTCCAGCCCCTTTCACTGGGCCCCAACTTTTGACAAGACAGGAACAGGTGGAGGGCTTAGAAGAAGCTGGCCAGGTAAGAAAGTCTTCAGGTTCCAAGTTTGAGGAAATGGGATGTATTGCATGTTGGTATTTTCATTTTGGGTTATGATACAAAATGCTTTGGTCTGGGCACTTGATAAAGAAAAGAAGTTTGTTTGTCGCCTGGGTCTAGAGATCCAGAGCATGGCATTGGCATGTGCTTGATTCTGGTAAGGATTTTATAGCAGATGACATTGCCATGACAGGAGTGGGTGCAGAAGAGATCACTTACTGGAAGGAAACAGGAGAGCAGCAAGACATCTGAACTTGCTTTATAACATCCCATTCCTAGCCAGGCACTGTGGCTCACACCTGTAATCCTAGCTACTCAGGAGGCTGAGATCTGAGGATTGCAGTTCAAAGCTAGCCCAGGCAGGAAAATCTGTGAGACTGTTATCTCCAGTACACCACCAGAAAACTGATAGTGGTGCTGTGGCCCAAGTGGTAGAACACTTGCCTGGAGCTGATGAGCTCAGGGACAGTGTTCAGGCCAGAGTTCAAGCCCCATCACACACACACACACACACACACACACACACACACACACACACACTTGAGGCTAAACATGGTGGCACAGGTCTATAGTCCCAGCTACTCACTAGGTAAAAAGTGGGAGGATTAGCCAGTCACTGGTGGCTCATGCCTGGAATCCGAGCTACTCAGTAGGCTGAGATCTGAGGATCATGGTTTCAAGCCATCCTGGGCAGACAAATACACCAGACTCCTATTTCCAATTAACCAGCAAAAAGCCAGAAGTGGAGTTGTTGCTCAGGTGGTAGAGAGAAAAAGCTAAGGGACAGCAACTAGAAACCTGAGTTCAAACCCCAGTATTAGCACATGCGTGTGCACACGCGCGCGCGCGCACACACACACACACACACACACAGAAAGACCCACTGCAGGGTGCAGAGCCTCCCTGAGCGCTCAGCCCTCACCTGTGCATGCCTCCCCCACAGATTTGCTGTGAGCTGGAAGAGAGTCAGAACCCGTGCCTGGAGCTGGAGCCCTTTGAGTGCGGCTGTGATGAGATCCTGGTGTACCAGCAGGAGGACCCTGCGGTGACCTGTGACCAGGTGGTTCTCCTCATCAAGGATGTCATCCATCGCAAGTGCCCAGAGATGGTCTCCAACAGCCGGACTTCCTCCACAGAAGCGGTGGCCGGCAGCGCCCCGCTCTCCCAGGGCTCTTCTGGGATTATGGAGTTATACGGTTCGGACGTTGAGCCACAGCCCAGCTCGGTGAATTTCATAGAGAACCCTCCAGATCTCAACGATGCGAACCAAGCTCCAGTGGATGTCAGTGTTGACCTGGTTAGCCCAGACAGTGGCCTGGCGACCATTAGGAGCAGCCGTTCCTCCAAGGAGAGCTCTGTGTTCCTCAGTGACGACAGCCCCGTGGGCGAAGGCGTCGGCCCTCACCACAGCCTCCTCCCGGGTTTCGACTCGTACAGCCCCATCCCCGAAGGAGCCGTGGTAGAAGAGCACGCACGGTCTGGAGAACGCAACGAGCACTTTGACCTCTTCCACTTTGACCCAGCACCCATGGCTTCTGAGCAGTCTCAACCATCATCACCTTCTGCAGACTACTCCCCAGCAGACGACTTCCCCAACAGCGACTCCTCCGAAGGACAGCCCCCCGCTGGGCCGACAGAACTCGAAGAGGTGGGGGTCCACGCGTCCACGTGTCCCTCCGAGTTCCTCTTGTCACAGGAGGGTAAAGATGGCCTGGTTGCGTTTGATGAGGAGTTTGTTCAGAGACCAGAAAGCCTCGGGGATAACTCTGAAAGACATCTCAGCATTGCAGGTTTTAGGGGGGATGAATCCCCTTCCTCAGACCGGCCGAAGCATATGGGAAAGAGGGTCCCACCAACTCCGATGAACAGCTTTGTGGAAAACTCACCACCCACCGAAGAGCCTGCCTCCCTCTATGCAGAAGATCTAACTCAAAAAGCCATGGACGCAGGGCGCCTGATGCCGCCGCAGACCCGTGTCCGGTGCAGCAGCTGGTGGGGCGGTTTGGACATTGACTCTAGAAACATGGCGGACGCGTGGAGTTCCAGTGAACAAGAGTCTGTCTTCCAGAGTCCCGAGTCATGGAAGGATCATAAAGCTAGCCCCATTGATCGGAGAGCCTCCGATTCCCTATTTCAACCAAAGGAGCTTGAATTCCCCAAGTCAGATCCCTGGGAACCTGCATTTGCTCAGCCCAAACCGGGGAGCCTTGGTCCTCAAGACCAGGAGGAGGAAACTGGACCGTTTGACGGCCTGAGCACTGAGAAGTCGCATTTGCCACAGGCTCCTCCCCAGGGAACAAACCACCCGATGGAAAGCTTTGCTGCCCTGTGGCATTCAGGCCACTCACCCACGGCCATGCCCGAGCCTTGGGGAAATCCACCCCAGGCCGGGGGCCGCGCAGCCCCCGGGTCATTCCCTGCCTGGAGTGTGTTTGATAAAGAAGATGATGCTGAAGCTTTGAAAAATACCTGGAATATTCACCCAACCACGGCAGAGACAACGTCCGTGAGCGAGCCAACGGAGTGGGCCACGGCCCAAAGTGGATTTTCTTTTCCTTCGGGAGATCGACTCCCTAACCCACTGAGTGCGGCAGATAACGTCGCAGCTCCCCAAGCGTGGGTCAGGAAAAACCCTGACTCCAGGGATCCTGTCTGCGTGTCTGGGAACCCCAGCTCTCCCCTGGAACAAACATGGAATAACCTGGAGCCGCTAAGGAAAGAGCCGAGTGGCGTGGCGGGTTCTCCAGCTCGGGGAAAGGCCTACGACGCAGTGGATTCCTGGAACCTCTTTGAGGAGAGTGTTCAGAAAGGCGGCCCGGAGGCCGTGGCTCCTTGGGAAGAGTCCTTCTTCTCCTATAAATGCTCTGATTACAGCGCCTCCAATGTGGGAGAGGATTCCGTGCCTTCCCCCTTGGACACCAACTACTCCACCTCTGACTCTTACACATCGCCAACGTTTGCTGGCGATGACAAAGACACTGGACACAAGCCCTGTGCTCAGGAGGAAGCGGCAGAGTCAAAAGATGTCCTCTGCCCCCCGGAGGAGGCTGAAGCCCCTGCCATGTCCCCCCAGCAGGCACCAAGAGATCGACTCCGTTCCGGGCCTGGGAACCTGGATATGTGGGCTGCGCCTCCGGCAGACGGCAATCCCCAGGGACATGCCGTGGGTGACTCAGATAAAGATTCACTCAGGACGGAGGAGTACCCCGACGCAAAGACCGTCTCCCTGGAGGAGGAGGAGGAGGAGGAGGAGGAGGAGGGGGAAGAGGGGGAAAGCAACCCCTCCAGTTATGACGACCCCAGCATGATGCAGCTGTACAACGAAGCCAACCGCCAGCTCTCACTTCTGCACAGCAGCACCAACTCGAGGCACGCAGCCCCCGACGGCCTTGACACGTGGAACAGAGTCATTCTGGAGGACACGCAGTCCACGGCTACCATTTCAGACGTGGACAATGAGTTGGACTGGGATGACTGCAGTGGGGGCGTGGCGTTTGCCGGCGATGGTCAGAAAGAAGGCTCTAGCGGAGAAAGGATGGAACCAGAGACCCGGTTCTCAGTGAGACAGCTGGAACCCTGGGGCACAGACTATCAGGAAGCAAACCAGGCGGACTGGGCGCCTCAGGCCTCTGGAGAGCACCCCAGAGAGCCCGCTTCCGGTGACGGCCACACACTGAGTGAGAAGAGCGGGCAGTTCATTGCAGACAATATATGGGATTCGGTCATGAGCGACAAAGGCCTGTCATCACTGCGATCACCAGAGCCGGCAGGGACCAGGGGTCCGGCACCAAGCAAAGCTGCTCCTGAAAGCCCCACCCATTCCTCAGATGGGCTCAGCCAGTCAGCGGCACCGACAGCTCCTCCTGCCCACGATCCGTACCCGTGGCCAGGAACTCTCCCGGCCCACGCCACATCCTTGACAGCCAGGCTTGAGACGCCAGGACGGTTTTCACCCACAGATCCCTGGATAGTTCCCAGCGATGGCCAAAGCCAGGGTGAGGATGAAACCCTGAGAAGCTCCGGCTCAGAGCACCTGGACAAAAACGAGGCCATAGGCTCGGGGTTGAGTAGCACCTTGGAGATTTCTGGAGAAGCGTCTGATGATCAGCCACTCTCCCCTCCAGTTCACACCGAACCTCAAGAAACCTGCCTCGGATCAGGCAACCTCAGCTCTCTTTCAGTTCATGGCAGTCCTCAAACTGAGGAAGCCGAAGAAGACCTGCACTATGAGAAAGGGTCTTTCGATAGCTTCCGTGGCGCTGCTCAAATAGAGAGGTCTACTGGAAAGCTTCAGACAAACGAGATCGATGAAGAGCCCCTCATACTGCACAGAAATTCAGTTGAAACTACCGAAGTTTCCGGTGATAGGGACTTAACAAAAAATGCAGCTTTCTCTGAACTGGATGTGGAGAAAAGTGAAGAATATAACGTTCTAGAACCAGAGAGCATGGACAAAGAACTTGCTCACGAGTTTCCTCAAAGCCTCAGTGTCTGTGATGGCCCCCTGGACGGCGAGCTGAGGGGCAGTCGCACAGGCTCTGAGATGGCTATGGATCTCGGTGGCGAAGCGGTCGCCGGAGGCCTGCAACCAGCCAGTTTGTCTGGAAATCAGGACAGAGACAGCATTTCTAGTGAGTACACTCGCTCAAGTGCATCCAGTCCTGACCTAAATGATTCTTCAGCCGCTCTCTCTTCCTGGGGTCAGGGACTCAATAGTGAGCATCAAGTAGAGAATCCAGATAATAGTGCACAAATCTGCCCGGAATCTGAACTCAGTATCACTGGCGCCCAAGAAAAAGATGTTCCTGAAGTGAAGGACTTAGAGGAAAACAGAAGGGATGGCTCTGAACGTAACTTGGGTCACAAGCTTTCCACATTTGCAGAGATTTGGACTGATTCAGTGGATGGTGATTCTTTATCCTCTCTATCCAGCCCAGAAACAGGCAAATATTCTGAATTTTCAAGTATGTACCAGGAAAGAAATCCCATGGTGAGTCATCAGGAGAAAAATGAATGTGACATTGTACAGCCACAAGATGCCAGGGTCCCGTCAGCCAGCTCAGCTTCCGAGGATGACAGCGTAGGCCGTGGAGCGCCAGTAGAGAAGGATGTCCATTGGACGGATACTCAAGTCACTCAGAGAGCATCCAGAGCTTGGGATTCACTGAATGAATCTAAGTTCTTGGTGACAGAGGCTCCCACATTTGAGGAGTTTTCCGATTACATAAGCAGCTCAGAACCAATAGAGAAGGAGAACACGTTACACCCATTCTATAACAACCAACAGAGCAGCCCCGTTGGGTGGAATGTCTCGCCACACTCCGAGACTCATGTACAGATCACTGCGGTGAAGAAGGAGATGAGCTCTTCTCCATCTACAGGAAAGCCAGGAGATGATGTATGGCAACTGTCTCCCGGAAGTGAACCAAAGGACACTGACGATTCTGGACTGGAAATGCTCGGCTTCTCAGCTGAGAGCCGTGCGTGGTGGGATGCCCCCCCGCAGGCAGGCAGAGCCGGTGAGAGTTCATTGGAAGGGAACGCGTCTGACTCCAGCTGTGGGGTAGAGATGAATGCTTCCGTCTACCCAGATGTGGGGCCCTGGGGAGAACCCATTCGAGGTGACACTGAAGCCCTGGAAACACACTGTACCAATCCTTTCAACGATCAGTTTCAGTCACCCTTCCTGGGTAGTCCTGGGGAGAACTCCCACGGGGAGCTTTGGAACATCCAGCCAAAGCAGCCTGACCCAGATGCTCAGCAGTTTAGTCAGCTTGTAATACTGGGCCACGTTAAAGAGAAGGACTTCAGAGAGCAAACCTTCTTGCCAGCTGCTGGTGATGAGCGCGCTCCTGAAACTCACACCCAAGAACCCTGTCAGGATACCGTGCTGTCTGTCTGGGAACAGAAAGACCCTGCATTTACTCCCATGGATGAAACAGAGCATACCTTCAGTGAGGGCCAAGAAGCACATTGGTGGGAACAAGGAGAGTCGTATCTCGGTGAGATGACACCCGCAAGTATCACCACAGACAATAACCCTGATGTTAGCTTCCCCTCAGAGTTGATCAGAGAATCGGGCTCTGAATGGGATAGCTCTGGTTCTCCCGAGGGATCCCAGGGTGCCTTTGCCCCAGACATTTTACACGGTAACTTCCACGAGGGTGCACAACTGGCCTCAGCCTCACCTGACTTGTGGGTAGACGTCAAGCAGCCCTTCAGTGTCAAAGCTGACGGCGAGAATCCCGATATCCTCACTCACTGCGACCGCGATGGCACCTCGCAGGCTTCCAGCAGCCCCGACGTCTGTCACGATTCTGACGTAAAGCAAGAGGCAGAACAGCACCTGGGCGGGCACCTGGCACCTGAGACGCAATCTACTGAGTTTTATCTCACAGAGCAGAGGAGAAAGGAAGAGCCCCGTTCAGAAGCTGGGCTGGAATCGGTCCCACGCGATTCAGAACGCTGTGCTGAAAAGACAGTCCCTCTGCCTCCCGCCAGTGATCAAGCAAACCCAAGCGACCCCCGGCAGCCTGCCTCTCATGCAGGTTCTCCCGAACCTTCTGAAACCAGTCAGGATGACAACGCGGGGTTTAAAACATCAGGAGAAGAAGCCGGGCCAGACACGGCACCAGTCTTGGAACTGGTTGACACAACAGTCCCAAGGATTGAAAATGTGGGAACCGACGTGTTTGTGACCAATCAGGTGCCAACGCTGGAAGGCAAGTGCTCTTGGACAGCAGAAGACTTTTCTCCTGGAAGTCACACAGGCGAGAGGGGCTCGTGTGCTGCGGAGCAAGCCTCGGCTCTGGTGACCGGCACCTTGCTGGCCTCGGACGCCTGCCTGGATGTGAGCGAGGCCGCCGGCGACCACAGTTTCAGCAACGCCTCCGGTCTCAACACTTCCACGGGAACCATCGACGACATGAGTAAGTTGACATTATCGGAAGGCCATCCGGACACACCAGGGGATGGAGACGCGGAAAAGCAGGACATCTGCTCTTCTGAAGCCTCATGGGGTGACTTTGAATATGACATCGTGGGCCAGAATATTGACGAGGACTTCATGAAAGAACCTGAACACTTCCGCTATGGGGGCGACCCTCCCTGGGAGGAAGATGCTCTGAAGCCATCACGGGCTCCGTACACGCCGCCCTTTGACTTATCCTACCTCGCTGAACCCACCCCGGCGGCTGAGACAGTGGAGGAAGCTGGCTCTCCAGCCGATGTGTCTCTGGGGAGTGAGGCAGCTGAGATGTTGCTTTCTGCCCTTCCTGATCAGAATGAGGAAAACCACCTGGAGGTCAGGAGTAGGCCGGCCGAGCACCAGAGGGTTGTGCTGCATATAGATGAGGACCCTGCCTTCCTTTCTTTGCTTGGAGGAAGAACGGGCTCCCACACCGAGTCATCCCCATCCAGCACTGGCTGGGATATGGAAGTGGATCATTCTGATTCGCCAGCAGATGGAGACAGAGGGCCACAAAACGGTAAGAAACCACGCCCAAGAAACTCGCTTCCATCCAACTGGGTGCCATTCGGAGAACACGCTCTTCCTACTAATGTAAGAAGAGAGAACTGAATTTTTTTTTTTTGATGTGTGCCTAGCCGTGTTCTGTACAACACCACTACAATTTAATCAGGGATAGTTAATATATATCCCTGGTTGTGCATGTGAAAATTAAACAGCAGTGCAAATCAAAACATTTTATCAAATGGCCTTTTTTTTTTTTAATGATCCTGGGGCTTGAACTCGGAGCCTTGGTGCTGTCCTTCAGCTTCTCCTGCTGAAGTTTAGTGCTCTGCCACTTGAGCCACAGCTTTATTTCTGGCATTTGGGGAGTTGAATTGGAGTTAAGAGTTTCCTCAGACTTTCCTGCTGGGCTGGCTTTGACACCTGCCAGGGCTGGTGTGAAACGCCAGTGCTCAGCTAAATTGCCTTTTTTTAGGTGAAGATTTGCAAAGATCACAGATTACAACAAGGCACCCATGGCTCACACCTGAAATCCCAGCTGCTTGGGAGGCTAAGGTCGGAGGATTTTAGGTAGCCTGGGCAGAATGTACTACAAGACTTCTCTCCATTTAACCACCAGAAAACTGGAAGTGGCGCTGTGGCTCAAGCGGTAAAGCGCTAGCCTTGAGTTGAAAAGCTGAGGGACAGCGCCCAGGCCCCAGAGTTCAAGCCCCATGACTGACAAAAATAAATAGTTTTTTTTTTAAAGAATCACAGGTTACATATGTGTTAATTAAGCCTTGCTTTTTCCCTTCTCACTTTCCTTTTCCATTTCTAGCTGTCAGCACTGAAGTATTAGAGTCACAAGAAATGACGATTGCCACCACAGATCCTGAGCAGATAACATCAGAATACAGAGGAGAAAAAGCCACAGAAATGAATGAAGAGCATCTGTCCCCCCATGTGGATTTTATTCTTGTAAGCCATGACCAGCACTCACTCCTGGAAGCAGAGGCCTATGAGGAACATGAAGACACACCCAAATTAGAAGACTTGCACATCGGTTCTGAAGAAACAGGGGTGGCAGGATCTCAGTTAGCGAGCATTGCAGTCACATGCCAGCCGGCCTCCTTAAATGAGAGCAAGGAACATTCTTCAGAACCCATGTCTTCTAACCATCACAAAAGGTCATCTCCCAAGAGCCCTACGCAAGAGCAGAGCTGGATGGTCTTGGGCCATGTTGAGGTTGGTGACTCAGAGCCAGCATTGTCTGGCAAGACCACAGATCAGATTTCGGATCCTAGTTTGGGCAAAAGTCCCCAGATACAGACTCAGGAAGAACTGAAGCCTCTAGAATCTTTAGCACTAGCAACAGTCAGCAACCGGGGCAGCCAATCAGAGAAGAGCAAGAGCCCGGGTCAGGCTGGCCAGGATGGAGTTCTTTTGCAGGTGGTCAGCCGTGACAATGAATGGGAAATGCTTTCACCACAGCCTTCGCAGAAAAACAAGATCCCTGAACAGGAAGTGGAGGAGGAGACTGAGTTCCTCGAGCCTGTAACTGGGCAGCCAGGGACAAAGGGGTAAGCAAATGCTAGATTCATTGCTCATTTTCTGGAGAAGCATTTTACTTAGAAATGGTGAGGAATTATGGACTATGAAGAACATAGTTGGTTATATTTATTGCAAGAAATATTATCAGTAAAAGCAGCTGCCAGGGAACTATCACCAAAGTGATGATTTGAGTATGCTTTCAAGCAAAAAATAGAGCCATTCTTCCATCTCTTCCTGACTCAACTCCACTCACTTTGGCTCCTATCTAACAAAACAGGCAACTAGTGGGATTAACATTTACTCAGCTTCAACTGGGTGCAAAGCAATTTGCACACATTTTCTCATTTTCTCCTTACATATTGGAAGATAATAAAAGCATAAATAAAATGGTAGTACGAACTGAGCACCAGCTCAGACCTGTAATCCTCGTTACTAAGAAGGCTGTGATCCTCAGATCACAGTTCAAAGCCAGCCCAGGGCAGGAAAGCCTGTGAGATTCTTATCTCCAATTAAACACTAAAAATGCCAGAAGTAGAGTTGTGGTTCAAGTGGTAGAGATTAGCATTAGTTCAGGGATGATGTTCAGGCTCTGAGTTCCAGCCCCACAACTGGCAAAAAAAATGAAAGTAGTTTGAGGGAGAGAAACTAAAGGGTTCAAAACAAAAAGTTTCTGTAACTTCCCTAGCTTTTCTCTGCCTCAGAGCTTCCCATACTTCATACGTTTCTGACAGACACACTGCCTGTCTTCTACACAAGACATTTTCTAGTTTTATGTAGCATCTAACTTCCTGATTGGGATTAGCAAATTCTGCAGCAAGATCAAAATCTTAGCGTGACCTGTGGATCACTTAATTGGCTGAGACATTGGCAAGTCATTGATCAAATTAGTGATTCCATTATTCATTCACTCACCGTATGTTTTCAGAAAATTTGCTCTGTGCCTCGTGTTTGGGTGGCCAAGTAGGCACCCAGCAAGTGTCAGGTTACCATTACTGCTTTTATGGATTAGTTACTTTGCTGAAAATATTTAGAAGCTGGGTACTGGTGACTGATGCCTGTCATCCTAGCTACTCAGGACGCTGAGATCTGAGGATCACAGTTCGAAGCCAGCCCAAGCAGGAAAGGCTTATCTTCAATGAACCCCCAGAAAATCGGAAGTGGCACTGTGGCTGAAAGTGGTAGAGTGCTAGCCTTGAACAAAAGAGTTCAGGGACAGTGCCCAGGCCCGGAGTTCAAGCCCCATGGCTGATAACCACCCCCAAAATAATTACAGTCCTTATTTCTCTATGAGATAAATTTGGTAAGGATAGAATTCATCTCTTTTCTTTAAAGTGTAATAGAGGATAGATGTGTGTATTTTGTTTTTTTTTCTACTCAGTTTCTGAAAGTATAAAGGACTGTATACACCCAGGGTGTGTCAAAGAATCTATATTCTGGGCCTGGTTGCTGACTATGTATTTTAGGATCATTCCCAGTTTATATTTCCTCATCTGTAAAATTAGAGGTTTGGCTAGACCATTCAAGCATTACTGCAGTATTAAATTGCACAAACATAAGTTGTGTGGAAACAGGAGTCCTCCAAGAGAGCTTTGACATTGCAAATTACATTTTTTCATGAAAGGAGCAGACAAAACCCACAAGGAACAGCAGGGGTGTGCGGAGGGATATTGAAATTCGGAGGGATATTGAAGTGCCAAAAGGAGTCAAAGCATACTCGGAAATGCAGTCAGGTTCAGTTGGCCTACTCCTTTTTCCTGTCAAGTTATTTCCTTGCGGAGAGACCTCACATCCGTTATCAGTAAGAGAGTAGCAGATGGATCCTAGCAACCCAGCTGGCATTAATGTGGATTGAGGGAAGAACTCAGCAGCCAGGCTGAGATGTGATTTGGCAATTCTTGTCTGCATTTGGCACATGCCCCTGAAACCCAACAGATGACAATCAGGGTTCCTTTGTACCACAAGCACCTTCTCTTTCCTTTGCTCATCTCTTTCCACCCAGTCTCTTGTTAGTATGGGAAAGATTTCCTTGATATTGGATCTTGAGAGGATACAGAGTTGTCTAAAACAGCCTGTCTCAAACAGGCTAAAGTGTATAATTCAATGGTAGAGCACTTGCCTAGCATGCTGAGGTCTTGCATCAATCCCTGAGCGCCAAGCCCCCAAGCAAAAAAAAAAAAAAAAAATCAAAGAAAAACCAGTAGTTCTCTAATGCCTTCAGGCAATGAGGTATCAATATCACCTGAGCTCCTATTGGAAGTGCAAATGACCAGCACCTTGACCCTCCCCTGGACTCAGGAGCTCTGGAGTAGAGCCAGATAGCTTTACTTCAGTAATTCCCATGATTTGGATTCACACTTAACCGCTACTAAGGTTCAATATGTCCACTCATGTCTGTAATCCCAGCTACTCAGAAGACAGTTGAAGGTTGACGGCCAGGTTGGGCAAAGGCATTAGCAAGAACCTATTTCAAAGAACAAATTAAACATGTGGTAGTACTTATCTATAGTCCCAGCTACGTGGGACTCAGAAGATAGGAAGATCTTGGTCCAAGGTCAGACTTGGCCAAAAACATGAGACTCATCCAAAAAATAACTAAAGCCTCCCGCCACCCCCACCCCCGCCCTGCAAAAAAAATAAAAGCTAGGCTTGGACTGAAGGGGGGAGGGACCGCGGCCCGGGCCAGAGTTCCCGCCCCATGGCCGGAAAAAAAAAAAAAAAAAAAAAGTCTGAAAGTTACAGTTTTATTGGTGGAGTGCTTGCCTTGTTGACAAGCAAGAGACTCTGAGTTTAAACTCAGGAATTACAATTGTCAGTCATAGTATTCTAGGAGTTTAAATTTAAAATAAAGACTGGGACATCAGTAATGGTTAAAATAGTGAATGACCAATGTTAATTTAAACATGAGGAACAACTATTTATGGTTGTGTGCTATAGACCAGCAACTAAGTACTCTACCTGTATGCTCATTGCCTTTTCCTTTTCCCTTTCTTTTTTCTCTTTTGATCCTGTGAATTAAACCCAGGTCCTCACAAAGGGTAAGCTAGCATAGCCACAATCCATAAACCTTTATTAAAGACTGGTGTGTTAAATAGAAAGGGATAAGTTCATCAAGGTTTGCCAGGGGAACAGAACATATGTGTGTGTATGTGTATAGATTACATGTGTGAGCCGGGCGCCGGTGGCTCACGCCTGTAATCCTAGCTACTCAGGAGGCTGAGATCTGAGGATCGTGGTTCAAAGCCAGCCCGGGCAGGAAAGACTGTGAGACTCCTATCTCCAATTAACCACCAGAAAACCGGAAGTGGCACTGTAGCTCAAGTGGTAGAGTGCTCGCCTTGAGCTGAAGAGCTGAGGGACAGCACCCAGGCCCAGAGTTCAAGCCCCACGACCGACAAAAAAAAAAAAAAAAAGATTACATGTGTGTATAGAGAATGCAGAAGCTCAGGCACTGATCAGATAAGGCCTGTCTGCATGGTACAGGGTCATTTTCTTGACTCAGTCTGCTGATTTCACTGGTAATCCCTTCATTAAAGGTACCATTCAGCAACATCCAGGTACACAAGTCGATTCAGGAATCATCGTCGACTCTAGTCATAAGCTCAAATAGTATGCTAGGAAAGCATCAAACCATTAGAAATCTTAAACTGACCATCTAAATGATAGAGCTGTGACCATCGATATACAAATGTATGGCATTCCATATGAATATGAGGCAAGGAAATGGCGCTTGAGGTGATGGGAGGAAATAATTCCCAAGAGGACTAAGAAAACAGTACTTATTGTCTAATCTTTTGGAGTGTTTTGTACAACAGAGGGGTATGAGAAAGGGGGAGAAGGAGTTAGACTTGTCAAAATTGAGTATATGGGAGTATCTGATACTCAGATTTGCACATAGATCTTGTTTACTGGCTCTGGGAAATGAACATGACCTCCAAGCCAGGTGGTGGTGCCTCACATCTGTAATCCTAGTCACTGAGGAGACTGAGATCTGAAAACTGCAGTTTGAAGCCAATCTGGGCAGGAAGGTCTATGAGACTCTTATCTCTAACTAACCACCAAAAAGGCAGAAGTAGAGTTCTGGCTTAAATGGTAGAGTGCTCACCTTAGCACAAAAGCTCAGGGACAGCTCCCAGGCCCTGAGTTCAAGACCCAGGTCTGCCACAAAAAAAAGAAAGAAGGAAGGAAGAAAGGGAAAAAAAGGAAGGAAGAAAGAAAAATGACTTTCAAACAATATATTTCATATTTTACAAAGTGCCCCTGTGGCTAACTCTCTGCCGTCTGTCTTTTCAAATTATCCCTTTTCTTTTTTCTGTCTGATTGGGATATTGAGAATACTTTTCCCCAGCGAGTGACGTATTAAACCTTCCTGTTTTCCATGAGACCTTCAGAAATCAGGGTCTTTTCAGCATGTGACTTTTGTGCAGGAGCTGGTTCTCTTTTCCACATGGATGTGAAAAATGAAAAACGAAGAAGTAACCAGAAGACTCTTTGTCTTAATGTTAAGTAAGGTGAACTCAGAAGATCTGAGCTATTTGAGCTGATGCGCCGTGTGTGTGTGTGTGTGTGTGTGTGTGTGCGCGCGCGCGCGCGCGCGTGTGTGCGTGTGCGCATGCGCCCATGAACTACAACTAGGGCTTGAACTCAGGGCCTGGGTGCCATCCCTGAGCTTTTTCTCCTCGAAGCTGACACTCTAACCCCATAGCTCTACTTCTGGCTTTTTGCTAGGACTGGCCTTAAACCACTTTTTTGATACTCTGTCCCAGCTCTCCACATCTGCCTTTGCCCACAGGTACTATGACATTTCACAAACTCTGAATTTCCCTTGATTCTTTACTATTTTTTGGCTTTTCCTTGAATAAAATATGGGAGACCAAACCTAGTACCGATGCTATGTTAATTTACTTTTGTACTTAGAGTTGATCATTTGATGTGTTATGTTTGGTAAGTTGGTGGTAATAATGAAATCTCATCAAAAGCTCTTACAGTTTAATTCCTTTTTTAAAAAAATCTCTTTCTCTCCCTGTGTCTC